CGTCGTTGTCGCTGTCGTTGTGTGGGTGTGATGATTAGGTGAAGGGGGCCAGGCCAGGAGGAGCGAACGCGCTAATTACGTCATAAGAATCAAAGAAAATTCAAGGTCTGCGCCACAGCAACAGAGCCCAAAGGCTATTCGGTTTCGTTACGTTTCTCGGTTTTTATCAAAAATAAAACTTTTCGGATGAAGAGTCAGTCGAAAGCAACAACAACAAGTACACACTGGTACTGGGACTGGTGATGGGAATGGGAATGGGTTGGTTTTTCCTTCGTTTTCGCGACGTATAATTACATACGAGCGTGCGAGCGGAGCATCGCGGCGCTGCTGTGATACACAGAAACGCAGAGAGACGAGGGAGAGAAAACACAACAAAGTTGATGAAAATTTCAGAAATTGTGTAAAAAGATTGGAACATTGCAGTGCAGATAATTTATTTTGGTGGCATTTTGCTCTTGTTTCATTTTAGTGATGTACGATGCGTGCATAGAAGCTACAAAAAACCCACCACCCCGACCCCGAGCGCCAGCACACGATACACACACACAAACTCACACACACTCATGTACACATAGGGCGCCCCGAAAACAATATTGTACATAAATTTTAATTAAAAAAGGAAACGACGAAAACAACAACACAAGCGGCGGCAGCAGCAACAGAAGCAGAAAACCCGAAAAGACAATACAAAAAAGTAAAAATCAATAAAGAGCGGCAACTCACGGCGATAAAAAAAGTGTTATCAGTGTGAATTGTTGCTGTTTGCGCCCATACGAACGACAAGCCAAAACAGATAGGAAGCAGACAGAAAGTGGCCGGAGACTCTTGTGGCCATCGGCCGCGGGCAGCGCTCCCCCTCTCCTCTTCACTGTTGTTTGCCGCGCAGTGACGCAGGCATACGGCGGTGCGGTAGATCGGAGATTGGAGATTGCAAAGCTCTTAACATGTCTGTGCAGCAGTTCTGCTTGCGGTGGAACAATCACCAGCCGAACTTCATATCGGTGTGCTCCTCGCTGCTGCACAATGGCACCCTGGTGGATGTCACGCTGGCCGCCGAGGGCCGTCAGCTGCAGGCCCACAAAATAGTACTCTCTGCGTGCAGCTCGTACTTTCAGGTGACTAAGCGACTGAGATACTGCCCTGAAAGATTAACTAAACTCTGATTTAATTTCCTTATTAATTTAGGCCCTTTTCACGACGAACCCGTGCCAGCATCCGATCGTTATACTGAAAGACGTTCAATATGATGATCTCAAGACGATGGTTGACTTTATGTATTACGGGGAGGTGAACGTGTCGCAGGAGCAGCTGCCGCACATACTCAAGACGGCGGAGATGCTCAAGATCAAGGGCCTGGCCGAAATGCCCACGGATCCGGCAAATCTCACCAAATCGGACAGCAAGTCTTCGAGCGACGGCACTGAGCTGGTAGGTGGCGCTGGTGGTGGTGTGGCGGGAGCAGGCGGTGCCTCAGCGGGCAGCCTGGGTGCTGCCAGTGGCAGCAGTGTGGGCGACTCGCTCTGGAGCAGCAGCGAGGCGCAGCAGTTCCAGCAGCAGCAACAGCAACAACAGCAGGCCCAGCAACAGCAGCAGCATCATCACCACCAGCAGCAGCAGCACCAGCTCCAGCAGCAGCAGGCGCAGCAACAACAGCAGCAGGCGCAGCAGCAGCAGCAGCAGGCCCAGCAACACCATCATCATCACCACCAGCATCAGCAGCAGCAGCAACAGCAGGGCGCACAAACCCAAGCGCCGCAGACGCATCATCATCAAATGAGACGAACCCCCTCGCCGCTGAGCGCTGGCACCTCCCCAGCCACGCGGCGCAAGAGGCTGCGTAAATCCTCGAATAACGGTGAGTGCGAGTTGGGTAATGCATCGTCGAAAGAGTTTCTGTATTGATATTGGAGTTGGATGGGAGAGACTAACCGTTTCCTTCCCTCTTGTATGCTGTAGGCTCTGGCGAACGCAACAACGCGGAAGAGCAGCACAGCAGTTCTTTGGACGCGGGCAGTGCCGCTGGTAATGCGGGCCTCAGTCTCGCCCAGATGAGCCAAATGTCATTTGGCGGAGCGGCCAATACGGCGGCTGCATTGGGCAGTCTGGCTGGGCATTCGCTGCACGCTGCCAAGCTGCTGAAGGAGTCGGCGAGCACCGAGCTGGAGCAGCAGCCGCAGGACTCGGATCTGGATGACGGACACGGACACTTACATATGCAAATTGTAATGAAATTGGTCACGTTGCCCCCTTTCCACATCCTTCACCCTCTTGCAATCTTACTCATTTTTGTTTATTTTCTCTTTTTTGCTGCTGTGGACAATGCAGAAGCCCGAAGTGGATATCGGCGGAGTGAACCAAACGATGCCCCTGGACATTTCCGGCGCCACCACACCATCCGAGCACGATGCGCCAAACTCTCAGTCCTCGCACTCGGGTAAGTTCACTTACTGAAGAATCTGCACACGCACACACTCTGTGCCAAGCGCGCTCCGTCCACAAACTTCTCCATCATACCCTCATGGCAGCAGCTCATGTTCATCCAGCAGGGCTTTTTGTGCAGCAGGGAAAAGGCAACTTTTCATGGATTTTAGTTAGTTTCTTTTGCTTACCATCATTATTTCCTACTTTCGACACAAAAACACACATACACATGGCTAGAATCATAGTTTCTTATGGACATGGGACTATTCAAAATGCATTTATAGAACGGTGGGACAGTGATCTGAAAGAATTACTCTCTTTGGAACTGAAAATAAATACGGTAGACAATAACCTGAAGCTAGAATCGCGCAACAGATCCGTTTGGAACAGATAATCAATCGTGGAAGATGTTCTAAGCACGGGGAATCAACAAACCCCATAAATTTGAATTTATTCCCATCTGCAATTGTTGAATATTGCTCTTATTACATCAGTGTTGGCACTTGTCAACATATGTATAAAAGATCGTTGGAAAATGCTATGAGAAATTGTTGTTGAGTTTAAACATCAGATAAGGGACAGAACAATATTCATGGTGGGTTGGCCCTTTTCAAATGGGGGACAATTGGGTGTGGCTTGGTAGGATCGTTCAGTTTCTCGCTCTCTCCACCCATTTGACGTTTCTCATGCTCATATCTCACACCCATCGACCATTTCAAACAAAACCATTTTCAGTACACAGCACAGCTCTGCGCTCGGAGAAATAATGCTAGAGCTAAGGCTGAAAATACTTTACATACTTTATTTGAGAATTAGAATACGACTATCTGATCTCTGATTCGATTCGATTACTGATTATGATTCATGCTTACCGACTAAGTGAAAGTGCAACGATATTCCGACGCATGCGTATCTGTAAATGTAGCCGTGAACGTGCGTGTGAGCCGCATTTGCCGAACATTTTGCCATGTTTTAAACAATAATTATTGTGTGTGTATTGTTGTTGATTGTGTGTTCCAAAGCAAAACTGAATCCTGCCTGAACTTGGGAATGGGAGAGAGCTAGCCACAGAGTCCAAAAACAAACAAAACAAAAAGAAAACAAACAAAAACCGATTAGAAATCTATCTAAAACCTATCGATATTTTACCGATTTTGATTTAATTTTTTGAATGGTTTATTCTTTCCATTTTGATTTTGATTTTTTGGGAAATACACTGCCCCATACCCCAATGCCCCTCCTCCTAACTCAGACTCAAACTCAGATCTAGATAAAGAGCAGAGCCTGTACTGTCATGACCAGAGTTAGTAGAGATTATGCAGGCGTGTTCTCAATTTCAATTCGAAAGGTCCCCCCCTTGTAGCCCCCACAGAGCAGAACAAATCGAAACCCAAAGAATCCCCCCAGACAAAACAAATCTTTCATACGCTGTCTCTCTCTCCCCTTCCCAGGTCTGCAATGGACAGTTGTCGATTCAAACTATCCGCGCTTTTCCCTGCCCGCCTGCCAGTCCAACTTGATTGGGAATGGCAGCAGTGGCGGAGGCGGCGGCGGTGCCGGCAATCAGAGCAGTGCGAATAGTAGCGCCGGCGGCGGCAACGTAGGCGGTGGCGGCACCAACGAGCAGCGTCAGCAGCAACAGCACGAGGCACAGCAGCAGGCCACCCAGCAGCAGCAGCATCTGCAGCAATTGCACTACCAGCAGCAGCAGCAACAACAGCAGCAGGAGCAGGCGGCGGCAGCAGCCTCCGGCCAGGCGTACTCCTCCCAGATCATAACCGTCAACAACCTAGTCAGCGGATATGCGACGGCGGCCCAGAACCTCTCCCCCACCTCGCCCAACGAGTCCAACATGGTCCAGTCTGTCTACAGTCAGGGACCCACTCCCACCCAATCGCCGGTGCATTCGGGCGTGACTGCAGCAGGCGCAGGAGGTGCCAGTGGAGGCGCAGGCAGCGGCGGTGCCGGCGGCAACAGCAGTGGAGCGGCCAGCCAGGTGGTGAAGCGTAAGCGTTCGGTGAATCCACAAGGCGATGAGAACTTCATAAGAGCTCTGGAGGCGGTGCGCACGGGAGGCATTGGCTTCTGCAAGGCGGCCCGACTGTACGGCGTGAACAATCGAACGCTGTGGCTGGAGTACAAGAAGCGTGGCTATCCGGTGTCGCGGCCGAGCATCAAGGCGCGAGTGGTCAAGCAGGAGCCGAACCTCTCGCCCTCGCCAACACCGTCAACGAATCCGGGCGATGACACAACGAATGAGACGCTCAATATGCAGATACCACCGCAGGCGGAAACCCCGACACCATCCCTGATGTGCACTCCACACCATGCCAGCATAGGCAGCAGTGCGGGCACCTTGCCCAGCGGCGGCAACTCCCATCCGGCCATCGGAGTGATGAGCCTCTTCGATGCGCGGTACATGGACTCGCCGGGAAATGTGCACACCATGTCGCGGCAGCGGTACATTGACGCCACAGGCGCTGGGGCGGGAACAGCTGGAACGGGTGCGGGCACCATCAACGTCAATCCGACCACTGCAATGAATCTACAGAGTATTAACTTTAACTCAATATAGAATACGATTTCGAGTCATATGGAGGCCGCCGCAGCGGCAGCAGCAGCGTCAGGAGGGGCAGGGCCAGCCTCTCTGCTGCAAGCAGCCGCTGCCATGGCCGCCAACGAGCCCGAAACAATGAGCATATCAGCAATGCCAATGCCCGTTCCAGTGCCCGTCTCCGTTTCGGCCATGGGCATGGCCCACAGCTTTCTGATCAACAATTTCGTAACAGTGGCGGGCCCACCAGTGGCCTCGGTGAGCAGTACGCTTGGGCCACTGGTAAACACCGGCCTGCAATACATGGATAAACCATAAAATTAATAAAAAGGGCATAAGGGCGACTCCCCCCTCCCTTAAATCGATACAATACAGGTATTAGAGAAATGGCAGCAAAATCCCTCTAGTGTATATATATATAGAGCAGACCGCTTAAACGGCAGAGTGGCAATATCACATAATGTCCGGCGTTGGAATCCACTGAAGAAGCTGACCTGAAACGAATGCAGAGCAGAGGCGGAAGCGGAATCGGAGATGGAAGACAACGACGGCCGCACTTGTAATAATTGTCATAGAAAGTAATTCCTTAAGCTTAAAGTTTTACACACCTCCTCTTCCCCCCCGTACATTTTTACGATTGTTAACTAAGGAAGAAAGTAATCGGTAGTACAGATCTATATAGTTCTATTATATATATAGAAAAAACAAAAGTTATATTATAACTGTACATAAATTATACAATTTTATTAGTCGTAAAATCCCCCCAAAACATCCATCAAATGAGTTAAAACACCAAAACTGAAAGGGATTGGGTGCTGTGCGCAGTAGTGCCGAGCAAACGCGAAATACACTTCCTGCTGAGTGTCGTTAAATCTATTGAATATTTGAGGAAAAATTCATTTATCTTTATATTTTTTTAAATTTTTGTTTGAGACTCATTTTGCATTCGAAATTCCCTTAGACACACGCATGGATGAGGTACATCGTGGCATGGTTGGCTCTTTCTGTGGCGCATCAGAGATGAGTTTTTTTTTCAATTGATTGATCGAAATTGAACTTGTGCACTTGTGTTACAGTAGCAAATATCATTATATGGGTACCTACTCCTATATTCATTAACTTTTATATAAAATGTGTATATATATAACGATATAGCATCTTAGATCTACATATTATAACGTTTTGTGTACAGTTGAAAGGAGAACAAGAATCAACACGCAAGCGTCAGTCGGTCCCGTTCCACAGAGAGAAGGACCTCTCTTCGATCGAGGGGACCGTACAATAGTTGTAAGCAAACAAAATAAATCCACAGATGGTGGATCGGTAGAGAGATGAGCAATGTAAGAGAATCGGATATGTATGATATACTTAATATGTACCACAACCACACCACTCAATATATATGTATATATATTTATATTTGTGAATGTAACCAACAATTTTTTATTTAAACTTCTACTCGTTCTCGTCGAATGTGTCGCTGGAGGGGAAGAGCTGAGCTCCCCATGGGCATTGGGGATTTATTTTCACACAAGACTCTAAGCCACATATCCTTAGTGGGAGGGAAGGGATTTCCCCCGTTTGTACATAGGTAGAGTGTGTAGTCAGTAGTGTATGTGTGTATGTACATATAGACCACAAGAACAGATCGGTTGACCATATGCAGGACTCGCAATAGACAAGCAACAAAGCAAAAACTTCAACAAATAAACTCGTAACCACCCAAGAAAATCCTAAATGGAGACTGCAGCTAAGGGCAAATAGTATGCCAACAGAAACAGAAATACGATTCAACTACAACTAGATTCTAGACTATGGAATAGTATGGTTTTTAATACGACTCATATACATATTGTAACTAAATAGAAGAGATCTTTTTTATATATTGTGTCAAGGCATTAAGGACTTAGCACTAAGGCGTGATTTGTTAGAAGTCATACGAGTAAAGTAAACTTTGATAATGGACTTTTATTACACACACCACAGACACACACACTACAGGACAGACACAAAGAAATACAAAAAAAAAAAAAAACGAATGAAAATAGCAGAAACAATAAACAAAAGATGAACAACAAAGAAAACCAAAATATAGTACATAACTAACTCTGTTTCCTATACAATTGCTATACAAAAAGTACCAATAACTACGCCTAGTCTAGTTATCTGTGTGTTAAATATATATATAAAACAAAAACAAATTAATTTAAAAATCCAGCATACAGTGCAATAAATTGTATTATACAATATGTATGGACGGCATGCACCACATAATAAATCGAATATCGAGTTGGAACGAAACATGAAACATTCTCTAGACTGTAGTCCCGATGTGTGTGTGCAAGAAACGAATAAAACTTTCAAAACTACAACGTACTCCACCACCAGCCATACATTTTCACTCTCTTCGCTCACTCACTCACTCCATGCTTAACGATCGATTATTGACTCCTCTTTGTTGCTCTTTTTCCCTTCCAGAACCCAGTCCGGCGCATGCAGTGCATCATCCACATCATCCGCCATTGGTGGCCACCAGCAGCAGCAGCGGTGGCAGCGGCAGCTTTGAGCGCTCATTTAGCATTGGCGGCTTGGGCGAAACTGATCCGGAAAACAATGCCAGCTCGCCTGTGATGATGGGCACCAAGCGGAATCGTGTGCTCACGCGACAGCCCCGGGTGAAGCGTGACAGCGACAGTCTCTCGTCGACCAATCAGATATCGCCGGATACGGCTGCCACAACCCTCGACTTTGATCCGTTTAATGCTGCTGGTGCCACAAGCGCCACAGCCAGGGATTATTCGACAACGGGCTCCCATCATTTGCACCACCACCAGCAGCAGCAGCAGCAGCAGCAGCAGCATCATCACCAGCCACCGCATCACCACCATCACCTGCTGACGGTGCCAACTCGAATCGAACGGCATGCCTCTGAGCCGGCACCTAGTCTTGGTCCCTCCACACCGCACCTGCTCAGCGTGCCGTCCAGCACACCGTATCTCATAAAGCAGCACTCGGATCCGCTCCTGCCGCGTCAGGCCGCACTGCACTCGGCCTCCGGCAGCTTGGTCGGCAGCACCAATCCGTTCGCTCCCTTGCACCGCCAATACTCGCATCCGCTGTCCGGCAGCAATGCCGGCTATGTGCCGCCAACACCGCTGCACCATCCGCATCATATCTCGCTGCCCGAGTCAATCTACGCTTCGGGCTCGCCGCCACCGGCCGGCTCCTCGCAGTACCTGGTGCCCACGCGTGTCGTGGCCTGTCCGGTGTCCAGCGAGACGGCGGCCACACCCACAGCAAATGCCAGCTCCAATGCTACGTCGTCGACGGTGGCAGCCGTTTCCGTGGTCACCTCGCCGACAGCCGCTGGCCTCAACAGCAGCCGGCACTCGTTCTCGCCCACATATGCGGGCAGCAGCACGGAGACGGCTCCGCCAGAGCGACGCTCACCACACTCCCACTCGCCCAATGTCACCCATTCGCACTCGCTCGTGGAGCGCTCAACGAAGGGCAGCGACGGATCTGCCAATGGATCTGGCGGCACGAAGCTCCGCAATTCCAAGTCGGTGACGTCCACGGGCTCGGGCTCCCATCTACACCCCGGCCAGGCGACAGCCATGAGCAGCTCCTTTGAGCACTTGCCCACGCTGCGGGTCAAGAACGAGGAACTGCAGCGTTCGGTGTCTTCACCGCAGGTGGGTCTCCTACAACAAGCAATCAAAGATCTCTGTCCAATAATTTTGCATCTATCTCTGACAGACCCAAAGGGAAATCATCACCCTGGAAAATCCGCGTTCTAGTCATTGCCCTGTCATTCGGCCGGGCCCGGCCTTGGGGTGTAACTTCTGTTGGAACACCATCGATGGGCATGGACGTATTTTGCGACGCAAAACGAAATACCATTGCCCCGAGTGTCAGACGAATTTATGCATTGTGCCCTGCTTCCAGGAGTACCACGAGCGGCTCAACAACGAAGCCGCCACCGTGGGGGCCAGCAACAGCAGCGGCCACGATAATCAGCACCACACCAGCAGCACCGGCAGCAGCAGTGGCAGCGGCAAAGCCTCCCCCTACGTCTCGGCCAGCAGCACCAGCAGTGGCAGTGGCAGCGGGACAGGCTCAGGCGCAGGAGCGGCTAGGCACTACACCAAAACCGAATCGATATAATCTGCAGCTAATTGTTGGCCCGCGTATTTGTATTTGTGGCACGACGGCCGTCACCCGTTCCTGGGCTACACACATAGGATGTACCCAGGCATCGGACCATCTAGGGGGGGCCGTCGGTCAATTTGTTTTTCTTTGTAAGCAGGATGCTTGTTGCTCCGGCCGCACAGGCACATCTGGGCACACATCCTGCAGCGAAAATTTTAATTTGTTGTGGCAGTGCCCGGCTCCGGCAACGACACCCCAAAAACAAAACAGAGGCGTGCCGTCCGGTTTCCGGGGCACATGGACTGCCCAAGAGCGCCCGAGAGCGCGTCCAGAAATTTGTTTTTGTGAGCCATGCGAAACGCATGCACAGACGTTGTGTGTACTCGTAAGTAAAACGGAAAAAAAATATATATAAATAAAAGAAAACTTTTGTAGCAAGGCGCGGCCTGCACGGAAATTGTTGTATGGCCCCGCCCGAGCGTTAACTTTTTTAAACAATCTGCTAACTGTTAAACTATATATTTAAATGTGTACCTATTATGTATGTTATTGTACAAACAAAAAACGGATAAACAAATACAACAACAAAATACATTAACTAAAACAAAAGAAAAAGGAAACGCTGTCAGCGGTGGTGTCAGCCGAGCAGTGACTTCTACAAGCTCGAAACTAACGATTAGGTTTTCAAAACACAAGTACAACAACTAGTACTAGCCCCAACAAAAACAACAACCACTGTGTCTCTATGGTCTAAAGTTTAGACTTAAGTACGTCTCACCCCACTCCTTTGGCCCTTCATCAGATATATTGGATGATTATGCCCTGGGCATCGCTGCGCAGGCGCACGTTTGTCTACTAGTATATATGTTTGTATGTCCCTTTCCACCCACTACCCGACGACACGACACTGTTTTACTAAATGTTTTATATATCTATATGTTTATGTACGTGTAGTATGAAAATCGAAATTACAGGCGATCCTGGATCCTCCCTGACAATGGGACATTGTTTAATTTTGTGTGTGTAAACTATAAAAAATACGAAAATTAATAAATATATTTGTGACCCTTCTGGTTTTTCTCAATAATTCAACGATGCGTCGTAAATTTTGATGGCCTCAACGACTCTCATTTCCAAAAGGGATGACCAAGATCGCTCACTACCCTCCCACAGCCTTGTTTAATATGTACGGAAGCACTATTAAAATGTTCTGATGGAAAATTCAACAAAGAACACCAAGCCAAAGCCTGTTACTACCCTCCGACCGAGGGGCACTGCCGCAAGACGCGCTTATATTGGATAGAACTCTAGTTTTTCCACGATACTCTGCCAATACCATCTGAAAACCGCTAAGAAAACCAAATGGCCAGCATCTCTAGACGAACTATTGACTATATTTCATCTATAACTTCCCTGCAAGAAAGACTCACTTTCATTTCGTTTAGAACCATCCTCAAGATCAAATAGATACTCGCAAAACGTTCCATTGCATGTACTTTTAGTGATTTCGTTTTATTAAAGCCTTCCTCTAATTACCATTTAACACATGGAGCCACATGGAGCAGTTTACTTTTTGGCTGGCGGAGCCTGTGGTGGCACCACCTCAGCGGGGGGATTAGCATTGCGGAAATTAGGGAACTGCTCCCAGGGGGCCGACAAATCAAACTTGCGGAACTCTTGCGCCAACTCCAGGGGCTCGCAGACGACGCGTTTCTTCTCATCATCGTAGCGCAGCTCCACGTAGCCGGACAGAGGGAAGTCGCGGCGCTGGGGATGGCCCTCGAAGCCGTAGTCGGTCAGAATGCGACGCAAATCGGGATGGTTGGCAAAGAACACGCCATACATGTCCCAAATCTCACGCTCATACCAGTTGGCGGCCTTGTGTACCTCGCAGGCCGAGTCCAGGGGTGTCAGCTCATCGGTGTAGGTCTTGACGCGAATACGGGAGTTGTAGCGGAGCGACAGCAGGTTGTACACGACCTCGAAGCGATGTTTGCGGCAAGGAACATCCAAACCGGCAATGTCGATCAGATTGGTGAACTGTGCCTGGTGGTGATCCTTTAGGAACTGCAGCACGGGCACCACGCCATCTGGGGCAATAAGAACCTCCAGCTCATCGCCAGCGGTCAGCTGAACCTTCTGCACGTACTTGGGCAGGCATTCGGCAACGTAGCGGCCGAAATCCGACAGACTGGTGCGAGCGGCAGCATCCGGCTTTCGCACAGTGGCTGCAGTGCATCGGGTGGATTTATTTAGAGAACTTGTCCATGGAAAATCATAGTGTACTCACGTTTGTCAGCTTTTTTGGCATCAACGGGCGCTGTGCTGGCGAATCGAAGAGCAGCTGTGCTAGCAGAGGGCATCACTTGATGGGAACGGACAAAAGTCAATTAGATTAGTTCTGGGAATGTGGTTTAGCTGTGGCTACTCACCATGCTTGGTCGCCAGAACAGCGACAGCAGCTCTGGAACCCAGAGTCCTAATTATGGCTGCCATTAGCACGAATTGCTCGTTTTTAAGTTAACAAATTGCACTTTTTGACAGTTTATGTAATGTATTGACAAATATACCGACTGAACTTCAGAAATATACCAAACAGTACCTGCTCAGTTTCAAAATATACCGTAAATATACCAAGGAAATGATTACTCCAAAATCATATTTTGATATTCCATTTGATATTAATAGCTAGTTAGTGCTTTCTGCAATGAATATACAATTTTATCGGATAGATATTTATATTTTCTAGAGATCGGTTTATTTATTAGACTCTCTCTTATTGTTTATTGATAAGAACAGGGGTTCAACAAAGAAGGCATGCAAAAATGTCCCCTTCTTATAATGGTAACTAAACTGTAAGTATACATTTGGTACATTTCAACCACATACCTTTGCTTTTCATTCCCTATTTTCGTAAATTGTGAATCAATGTAGTCAACGACAAACATTTCATCAATGTCTTTTTAAATAAAAGTCCAGAAGAGAAGTTTAGACAACATCATTTTTTCCAACTTGTAAAATTTTCTCGCTATTGAATTTGTTCCTAGTCCACATGTTCCTATGCATTATTTAGCGTAAAGTTTTTAAGTGTAATCATATTCCAAAAGATACAAAAGAATTAATTTCTGATTACCTCTTAAACTTAGGTATTACATTAATAAGCACATAATACAATATATGAAACTAACCATACATTAAGGGAATTAAAAAAACAAGGTATCTAAATTTCCATAAGAGTATATTGTTCCCCCTCATTTTTTAGGTGACTTTCCCTGTTTTTTCGTGGTGAATTGGAAAGCACTGAAAACACTTAACCCATTGCCGACTAACTTTTGCAAGAATATTATTGAGGTGAAAAAATATTGATGCATATCAGATACAGAATACAGTAGCAACATAAGTACTATTTTTTTTGTAACTAAAGGTTTCCGCGGCCAAACTCAAGGTGTTATATTATTTTATCCTCGATATCTTTGCCGTGTATTTTGAAAGTGGAAAAGTATATTTCGGTATATTACTGTAGGTCCGTTGGTATATTTTATGGCGTTCTTTTCTCGTTCTGTTTTCTGGAATTGCAAGAATTGAAATTAAAACATTTTGAAACATTAAGAATACTTGGAAATAGGAAACAAACAATAATGGTAATTGGAACACTCGACGCTGCATTGTTTATGTTTTCGAAAACAACTAATTGTGAATTTAAACGGTTTAGAATCACCTGAAATGGATGGGACACTCGTCCACAATAATGGACCTACAACGTTCCCTGCGCAACGATGTCCACACATGCGAGGTTGTGCTGGCCGCCAAAGACGGCTTCAGTGTTCGTGCCCATTCATTCGTGCTCAGCACATGCAGCGATCTGATGCGAAATCTCCTGGTGGATGTCCCACCGGGCCATGAGGCCACCATAGTGCTGCCCGATATCCGAGGGGAACTGCTGGAAAGCATGTTGTCGTTCATCTACATGGGCGAAACGGGGCTGCCCTCGGTGCTGCTCAGCGAGTTTCTGGAGGCCATCAACCTATTGGGCATCAAGTCCGCAATTAGCTTCGAGTGCAATCCCTCCTCCAACGTGGACGTAGGCGCTGGCGCTTTGGCCGTGGAGGCAGCAAAATCAATCAGCGGCCTGCAAATCGCCCAGGCCGAGCTGATTGACGAAGAGGAGGAGGGACAGGCACAGATGGCTGTGGCAGCCGCAGTCATGGCCGAGGAGCAGCCAGCAGCACACACCAGCCGTCCGCTGGACTTTCTCGATGTGTACAACGAGACGCCAAAGATCACGTACTCCATCGAGCACATGGGCGGCCACTCGAGCGGCAATCAGTTTATTCTAACCGAGAACACGGGAGCATTTACAATCACACAGTCGGCGACCAGCTTGTCCAAGCTGGAGACCTCCGAAACTGCGGCCAGTGTCGGCGATGTGGACATGATGGAGGATGACGCGGAAGCAGACACAACCGAAGAGGAGCCGGAAAACCAAATACTCGAGGAGGAATATCCCTCAGATCCCTTGATCGAGATGACAGGCGGCGGAGATCTGGAAGACGATGATATGCATGAGGATCTGGTGGATGAGGACATGCTGGATATAAAGCCGCGCAAGCTGGCGGTGGCCAAGCCAAGAGGCCGACGCCCCAATCGAACAAAGATCATGAAGCGAGCTCCGCCCAGACAGCAGCCACAGTTTCTGACCCTCAAGCACGAGGGCAAGGATGACATTAACGATGCCCTGGATCTCGCGGCCGATGCCGTCATAATCGAGGGTCTCAGCCTGCAGAAGGCTGCCGATCGCTATGATATCTCGAAGACTGTCTTGTGGCGTCGTGTGCGCACCAATCCCGCGTACATGCGAAGCACCCGCGAGAGGCCATCGTTGTCGGAGGCGTACGAAAGACTCAAAACCGGTGACTCACTAAAGAACATCAGTCAGGATCTCGGCATACCCATGTCCACACTACATAGACACAAAGTTCGACTGTCGGCGCAGGGACGCCTGCCAGACTTTGTCGCCTGCCGCCGCCGTGACACCACCCCCAAGGACGAGCTTCGCGAGAAACTGGCCAAGGCCGTCCATGCCTGCCTCAACGAGGGTATGTCGCAGAACCATGCGGCGAATCTCTTCGAAATACCCAAGAGCACGCTCTGGCGTCACCTGCAGCGTAAGATGTCCGGTGCGGACCGCAAAGTCAAGAAGGAGGAACAGGATGACTATGAAGAGGAGATTCTGAACTAGAACTAAAGATATTAGAGTATTTAGCTATCGTTTAAGAGTGTACACCTAGGCTACTACCAGTTAAGTTATTTCACATAACATTAAACAAAAGTTCAAACCACTCGATCTCCACACCTAATTTGTTAATTTACTGCTCAAATTTGGCGCGCAAATGTGAACGATAGACCGAGCAGCTATCGATAACACAATGTTGAGCCGGTGCGAAATATTTGTTTATTTCGGCGTTTATATAGCTTATATTGTTGTGGGACTGTATAAAATCTATGAGCTGCGCGATCGTATCGTTCAACAGGCTCAGTTTCAGTTCTCGGAAGGCTGGAGCTTGCTGCCGTTCCTGCAACGTCGCCGCCGCGATGACAGCAACGACGAGTTGGAGAACTTTGGGGACTTTATTGCGCTCTTCTGGCCCTTCTACTTGTTGCACGCGATTGTGAGTGGAGTGCTCAACTGGAAGTGGCCACGCCTGCTGTGCCATGGATACGCTGCCGTGTGTGCGTTGGCCTTGGGCCTCAATCTCCATTGGACATCGCTGGCGGTGCTGACTCTGCTGGTCGCCAGCTATTTTCTGGTGTCACTGATCGGCTCCAAGCGCCTGGTGTGGCTCCTCTCTGCGGGCTGGATCCTATGGATCAATGTGATGAAAAACAACACCTGGTGGATTGACAGCGTTGGCTACACGGAGTATGTCATGGTGATAGTCACGCTCTCCTGGAGCTTGCTGCGCGGCTGCAGCTTTGCGCTGTCCAGATTGGGTGCAAAGAAGGATTTGCCTACGTCTACCTACGACTTGATCGAGTACCTGGGCTACGCCATGTACTTTCCATGCCTCACCTACGGACCGATCATCAGTTACCAGCGATTCGCGGCTCGTCGGCGGGAGCAAGAGAATTTTCTGGGATTTATTTTCGCAGTGGGACGCAGTGCTTTCTGGTGGCTACTGATGCAGTGCGGACTGCACTACTTCTACATACACTACATGGCGCGGGATGTGCGTATGGTGGCCATGATGGACTCTGTTTTCTGGCAGCACTCTGCGGGCTACTTCATTGGACAGTTCTTCTTCCTCTACTACGTCGTCACCTACGGACTGGGCATCGCCTTTGCGGCGCATGACGGTATCCCAGCACCCAGCCGTCCCCGCTGCATTGGACGCATACACTTCTACTCGGACATGTGGAAGTACTTTGATGAGGGCCTCTACGAGTTCCTCTTCAAGCACATCTATGCAGAGCTGTGCGGCAAACACTCCTCGCCAGCGCGTAAATTCTCTGCCACTGCCCTGACTTTTGCGTTTGTCTTCGTTTGGCATGGCTGCTACACCTATGTCCTCATCTGGAGCATACTCAACTTCCTGTGCCTGGCCGCGGAGAAGCTCTACAAGACGCTGATCTCCCTGCCGACCTACCAGAACTGGACCCTTAAATACTTGGGCCCTGTGGGCGCTCAGCGACTGCATGCGATGCTGGCCACTCAGCTCTTCATTCCCGCAGCCTTCTCTAATGTTTACTTCATTGGGGGCCAGGAAATTGGCGACTTTCTGATGCGCGGCGCCTACTTGAGTGGAGTTGGAAACTATTTGGCGCTGTGCTTTTGCAGCTATTGTTTCTTTCAGTGCTCCGAGCTGCTGCTGGCCAAGTCAATGTCCCACACAAAGCCAAAAACCAATTGATTCCAGTAGATCTAAACAACAAACTGACAATATTTTGTAATAAAGTTTTGATATATTCATTTAACAACTGAGTCTTGGCTCATCTGTCGTTCTCTTCGTTGTTCTGCCAGTCCAGCCATCCCGTCTGTGTGCATGTGGACGTATAGTTATCCAGCAACTCGTCCAGCATCTCGTCGCAGGTTTGTGTATGCTGCGTGTTGTACAGACCATCGTCCGGCCAATGCGTCTGGGTTTGTATGTGCGACAATCCCAGCTCCTCGAACAATTCATCACACGTCTGGGTGTACATGTTGGCCGAAGTCTGCGCGCCGAACATGGGCTCGCTATCGGAATAGGATGTGAAGCCGTCACCGACTGTAGTGTTCGCCGTGTGTTCCTCCCAGTTGTCGTCTGTCGTTTGGGTTTCTATGTGGCCCACAGAAGTAGTGGCCTGAATCTGTGACATCTCGATCATCGTTTCCTGATCCCAGATATCGTCTGGCGTTTGCGTTTCCTGCCCCACCATTGTCAGCGCCTCCTGATCCCAGTTATCCTCCGGCGTTTGTGTCTCGATGTGGCCAACTGTTGTGGCTGCAGTCTGCTCATGCACCCGCAGTTCCGTTGAAATTTCGTCCATCGTGCCCTGATACCAGTTGTCCTCCGGTGTTTGTGTTTCCTGCACCACCGTTGCCGCTGCCATAGTCATGTCGCTGATGGTGCCCTGATCCCAGTTGTCGTCTGGCGTTTGGGTTTCTATGTTCCGCAGTGGAGGCACAAGTATCTCCTTGAGATCCTCGGACTCTGTTTGAGTTTCTATGTTCAACTTTTGCAGCGATGCCTTCTCTGGCATCTGCTCCACACACTGAACGTCCATGGGTGGCAAATACCAAACGATTGCCTCCGCTCCATCCGTGGAGCTCTCTGGCGTGGGCGGTAGAGGGGGAACTGTTGGTTGGTGCAACTTCTTCCTCGAGCTGAGTGCAGGTATTGCCACCTTCCCGACATTCTTGTCCAACAGATGATTCTTGCGTCTCATGTGGGTTCTCAGAGCAGATGTGCTGCTATATGTAAGCTGGCAGACGGGACACTGGTGATCCAAGCACTTGTGCATCTCCAGTTCACGTTCGAGCAGAAACTTTTCGCCACACAGCACACATTCGTAGTTTTTGGGTAGGTGGCTCTTTTGATAGTGCTGCCGGACCAGGCGTAGGCTGGAGAAGCTTCTGCCCTCCACTCGACCAACTGCCGAGGCATGGTATCTACACTTTTTCTCTGGGCAGTAGAATACAGAAATGTTTGGCTTGGAAAGGAACACTTTGTGCCTTTGCCGCAGGTGCAGTTGGTAGTGGCTGTAGTTGTTGAAGACCTGGTGAACACATTTCTCACAGCGGTATAAGCGTTCCGGCAGCAGCTCCGAAACGTGGGGCGTATAATATTCCATCTTGTTTAAGTTTTTCTGAATCTGCCATATCCGTTCCATGCATTGTAACTGCACTATCTGTCCCTCAAAAATATACCAAAATGTAGATTCTCATTTTTATAATATACCGTAAACATACCGTATATCTCAAATCATTTTCCTCAATATTGATATTCTTATTAATGTTACCGCGGTCACACTGACGCTGCTGCTCGCAAATTTCTTCGAGGTAAAAAATCGTTTAAAAAACCACAAATGGTGCGAATAAATATGTTTCCATGGCAACGTAGCGTATTAAATTGAGTTGCCAAAACAAGTGAACTGCATTAATATTAGTATTGGATATGGATATCAACAGATCGCAGATTCCCAAATTCATGTACAAATATTTTGATCCGATACACAAGCATACATCTAACCCATACCAAAGCGCGATCTGCTTTGAACCAATAATAACAAGTGTGTGTGTGTGTGTGTGTGCCCGCGTACAAAAATATACATTAAAAATTAGCGCAAATTAAATTGGCTGGCGTCACGAATTATTAAAATTAATCCAAGGCTCTTAAGTGCAATAAAACTCACATATATATCATACGGCGTATGTAACGGTGCTTCAGCTGCAGCGACACGCGAGCCCTTTCCCTTGCCCACACCTGCACACCGCATTGTACTCACCCGCCCCACGCCCGCTACTATCACTTTGTGTCTATTCTAGGCGCGACTACGTCATCTGTAGCATCAGCAACATCTGTTCCGAAGATAATGTGTGTTCGGATCGGTAGGGAGGGAGAGGGAGGCGGAGAGCCACATATAATACCAATCGAGTTGATGTTGTTTTCTCAACTGTTGATGTCTGTCTGGGCTCGCTAGTGTCCACAAAGCGGTTTCAAAGGGCGTACGGCAAGGTCGTCTACACTCGCAGAGACAACAGACTGCTTCCCCGTACTCCATTTAAAGTAATTTCATTCTGATGCAATTTGTCATCCATTTAATTAAAATTTCCCGCAATTATCCTAGGCCTGTAAGTGGACAGCCAGCAGATTATTTAATAGATGTCTTAGGGCATGGTCTGGTATCTAGTACGTCTATTAGCCATAAAAAATACACGTAAGCAGTGTCTGAAATTAACACAAATGCTAAAATTAAATAAACATTAAGGCGTTCTTCAAATCCGATTGAGAAACGGAGAAACGTCGAAGAGAAGACCTTGTACGACGCGTAGTGTGTACACAAACAGAGAACACGTAGAATATAATTAAAATATACCCTAGAAGTGGGTATTATAGTTCTGTCTCTGCAAAAAACTGAAAAATCTTCCATTAAAGGTGATCTATGATCTATTTTCGGGGGTTTAATCGTACAAATTCTGATAATTGAGTTCAAGCTTGCGCTTAAATATCATGAGGTTATCGCATTTCCAAGGCAAAAGATTCATCTAAACGTTTGCGATAATGCAACTGAGTCTGACGCAAGTATTGAGATGCAATTGCTTGTTGTGTTGGCTGGCGATGTCTCTGCAGGTAGTAGGCTTGTCAAAAGGGAGTTTCAAACATGAAATTGGAATTGATTCATGCATTTTTCATTGACTAGCAACCGCAATGTGGTTCGCCCACACATACTCGTATCATACAGAAATCAGCATTGAATGAATGACAGTCAGCAGGTTGTGGTTGGGCGTTCTGACCCTGATGTGAGCTTCGTATCTGGTTTACAGCATTGCATTACTTCCGTCTGAATGTACCACAGCACCTCAGTGTTACTGAGTGGTGAAAGTTGGCAGTAAGCGAAGAAGACACTGTTTTTGGCGGTGGGGCTTTGTTTTGAGTGATCGTGTCAAACCCATTTGCCATATCTTATCAGCCCTTGAGTCCGCACCGACAGTGGCCGGCTCCGATTGCTGATTGCCCTTAATTGCATGTCTGTCAATGGAATTTCAATTGCTAATTGACAGAACTACATACGCGGCAGGGTATGTCGGAGGGTATGTATTTTCTGCTGAAACCATTTGCGTTGTGCTCTCTCACGCTCTCTGTGAGTTTTCCACCAGAATGCGTGTCAAAAGACGAAACGCGTGACTCATTGGGCTGGGGGCAGTGGCTGCTGCCGTGCTATTTTCAGCTACATATAATTTTCTCTGTTTACCTGACGCGTGAATTAACCTGAAAGCTTCTTTCTTGCAGAGATACTTCTACGCTAAGTGCATTTACTAGCCTAACAAAATGAGCAAGTCGACGGGCAATGCACCACCGCAGTTCACGTATGTGCCGCCACCATCGGCACCGCCATCCTACCAGGAGGCTGTGGGCGGCGTCAAGCCAGTGGGTCCGTACACGCCCGTAGTGGCACCCGCAACCGCCGGAAATGCAACAATTGTGACCACAGTGGTGCCCATTAGCCGCACATCGACGCACATGATTTGTCCGTCTTGCCATGCCGAGATTGAGACGACCACACGCACGGAGCCCGGCATGATTGCCTACTTGTCTGGCTTTGTGATTGCATTGCTTGGGTAAGTCGCTAATCAATCGAAGTTAAAGCCTTTGAAGTGCTCACTCTTTGCGTTTCTTATTCTAGCTGCTGGCTGGGATGCTGCCTGATACCTTGCTGCATTGACGACTGCATGGATGTGCATCACACGTGCCCCAATTGCAAGGCGTACTTGGGACGCTTCCGTCGATAGGCGGTCGGGCTTTTAATTTAAGCAAGCGCTTTGCCTTTATTTATTTAATTGTAGTCATTTGGATTCCACAAGCGGAAGCGGATGTAAAGAAAAGAAAAGAAATGAAACGAAACGAAACGAGCCAATGCTTCCATTTAATCAAACGCTAATACTTTGCTGAATTGCTCAAAATTGCATCCTTAAAGACAATTTTTTTCTTGTTTGCTATTATGTATCTGTATATGTTTTTGATGCCACGCCACACGCGCGAATGATACCTTTAAAAACAACAAATATGTATATTGTATGTACATAGCTGCCACACATCAAATACAAAATCTAACGAATCTGCAGCTGTATGTACTTATAAGGCCCCTTCCTGCGCCCTTGAAATACTTTTGCACAAAATGATAAATTCAGTTTCTGTTATGGAATGGAACCAATGTAACAAATGGCACAAGTCCATCCACACATATTGTATGTAATAGAGTTTACTAATTTTAACGAGAGACAAATTGCAATACAAGATATTTTTGTAAACGTTTGTAAACGGACCGGGCGGTCTTTGGCGGTCTATTATTGTAAAAGGCTACACATCAGATATACAACACCCCAGCTCTAAATAATTGACTTTTTATTCATTAAATAAAACATTAAATGTGACTAAAAATTAATCCATAATTATAATACATTTTAATATGTAAGGGCGGGCAAGGTACAGCAGATATTTGATTCGTTTTAATCCACGCCCTCGGCTATGACTTTCAATAGCTTCATGCGTAGCTCTCGACGTTTGCTGGGATTCTCAATTTGGTTCATTTCGGCTTTTATGAGCTCTCCAAATGCCTCCACGTCGGCTTTGAATTTGCGCTTGTTGCTCGTTCGACCATTGTCCAAGGAGTCCATGAGCGGATCGACCGTGGGCATGGAAGCACTTTGTAAATCGCTCAAGTAACATGGCACCTCTGTGTCAGTTTCAGCTGGCATCTACGGGTACAACAGAAATAATTATTACATTTAGAGCCAGATACTGACATTTTCTACTCACATTCAAGTCGTCGCTGTCTGAAGTAAACTTTAGATATGGCTTGAGGAATGTGATGTATGCCACCCAGAAAGGTGTCGACTTGTTGCTTTTCTTCTGCTTCAAATAACGCAGATATTGGCTTCGCAAGGACACAATTTTGCTGTTAATGTCTGCCATGTCTATGCGTTCGTACATTTTTCTCATTTCCTTAACAATCTGCTGAAAAGAATTGGCCCTCAAGACTTTATTCCGATACTGTTTGTGATTCGGATCATATAGATTTGGGCATCGCTCGTACAGCTCTATCAGCATTCTGATGCCATCGGGTCCCCAGCGAATCTCCTTGGGCTGTATGTGGGAGGTCAGCAACGGATCGCAAGCGGAATTAGTGTCACTTTCATAATCGTGTGAAAAGCTTGAACAATCAAAATCTATTTCTGATTTTATTTCCTGTATGGGAATAGAGTAGAGATATTTTGGAACATTCACTATGGCAAGAAATACTCACATCAATCTGATTATTGGGGAGTTTAACAAAGGGCTTAAGGAATTGTATGTATTCCACCCAGGCGGGCACTGTTTTGTCGAGTGTGCCCCAATTTGACTGGATCTTTAAAAGGGACAGGTAATGGCTTCTCAGTGTACTGAACTTATTCTTTATGTCTGCCGTGTCTATGGTGTCGTATAGTTTTCTCATCTCTGTGACAATCTGTTGCAACGACTTGGCCCGATCAGGCTTGCAGCGGTAGCCAGGGTGCTGCGGATCGTACAGGATCGGATGACTCTTGTATAGCAAAATAAGCATTCGAATGGACTCGGGATGCCAGCGTATCTTCTAAATATGTGCAGAAATAAATGTATCAACATTTTCAAATATTATCAAACACTTGCCTTGGTTTTTTTTGTGTTTAGCGTCTCGTTAGACTCCAGCGAAGAATCACTTTCACACTTATCATCATCCTCCTCCACTTGGCAGACGTTCTCTGGTTTAATCTCAGTCTTGTGTATCCCGAAGTGATGTGGATCCTGGCCTAGACAGCTGCTTGGTGACTCCTTGCCAGCTTCTGGTTTTATCTCAGTGTTATTTGTCTTTAGCAGAAAGGAATAAATGCAACACGCGCGTACACAGATCGCGAGGCATACTCACATCAGACTCTGATTTTCTCTGACTCTCCGAGTACCTTAGATGTGGCCTGAGAAATTCTATGTACTTCACACAGAAGGGCGCCATCCTCTCGTGCGTTTCCATGCCATTCTTCTGGTAGCATGCCTCATTCTTTAAATGCACCAAGTATTGGCTCCTCAATGTTCCAATCTTATTTTTGATGTCTGTCGTGTCTATGGTTTCGTATATTTTTCGCATTTCCTTCACCATCTGCCGCAATGATTTAGCCCTCAACTGTTTGTTGCGGTACTGATCGTGCTTTGGATCGTACAAGTTCGGACGCTTCTCGTACTGCTCAATCAGCGTTTTGATAGCCTCTGGACTCCAAGTAATCTTCTAAAAACGAAGTTGTTTATAAACACATGTTTTAAGACTATCATAAAATACTTGCCTTGGGCTTAACGATGTCCAGTTTTGGCTCGGTCAGGAGTGGATCGAAAGTAGAACCAGCTTCACTTTCATCGTTGCTCAAACAGTTTGGGACATCGGAGTCAGCTTCTGGTTTAATCTGCACATAATTGTGGATCATTTTGGTGCACACAGACACCTGAATTGTACTCACATCCAAATCCAATGATTTTTGATTTTCGGGCGGCTTCAGAAATGGCCTAAGGAACTCCACGCAGAGCACCCAATTCGGTTTTGCCATTCCATTTTTCTTCTCCTTTTTCAAATAGCTTAAATACTGGCTCCTCAGTGTGCAGATTTTAGTTTTAATATCAGTACTTAGTACATTTTCGTATATTTTTCTCATTTCCAGGACAATCTGGCGAAAAGCCTCAATGCGGAAATCTTTATTGAAGTAATGCTCGTGTTTCGAGTCGTATAGGTGTGGTTTCTCCTTGTACAGCTTCATAAGCATTTTGATGGCATCAGGACTCCAATAAATCTTCTGAAATTGCATAAAATCATGTAGTTTAAGCTCACAATAAGCAAAACACTTTGCACTTTACTTTGGTCCTCGGCATTGTTTACAAAAAATTGCGCAAAATAATACAGAAAGCGCGTCCAGGTGCGCACCGATGTGATTGGTTGTTTTTCACCGATGGAATACGACAGTTTTTATAATTACGCTTTTGTATTTTTTTCCATATCAGTTCAGTATTTTCCTGTTAGCTCGTTTACAGGATGTTTTATTTTATTAACAGACCGGGGAGTTGCTGTAAGCCGCATGAATTTGACGATATACTTACGGTATATTTCGGTATATTTTTGAGGGTTCCTATCGATACATCAAACTGTCATCCAGGGTGACCATTTGGTACTTTTCAGGCATTCTATTTTTGATGTCCGTTCAAAATTTTCAGTAAAATATATTTTTTGTTATATTCCCCCAACATAAACCTGGTCAATGCGGACTCATCGTCTGCGACCAACCAATTTGGCTGTACCGATTAAAAAACAAAACAAAACATATATATACTTTCCAGGATATTTTCACCACGAAATTGAAATTGTATATTTACTGTATATAGGTATATAATGGCATATTTAATGCATTTCATCCGTCTGTTAAATTCCATTTTTAAAGTAAATTCAATAATATAGAGTATCCAAACTCCCACACGTATTTTTTTCAAATTTCCCTAGAGGAGTTTCTCTCTCTTTTGAAGGGATATATCTCTCTCTTCCTTTACCGCTTACGTATTTAACCGTTCGCAATATAATTTGTATGGACCTGCAACATGCTGCGAAAACCTGATCACTGTTCCCCAACATCGTGACCATGTCGTCACCTTGACAATTAGCAACATTGTGATACCCTTCGGGATGTTGGAAATCTCAGGTTCCAATCAATGCAAAAACAAGTCAATCTGTGCCTACTGTCAATCTGTGTTGAAGATATATCTCAATGAAAATTTTCACAATATACATTATGGATATCGAGAATGTATCTAGGTCGATTTATACATTGAAAGCTTATGAAAAGGTTAAAAACATGTCAGTCTAAGATAAAGTCATTACTAATGTTTGAGAGCAGCTTTTGAAAATTAAATTTTTAATATTTTATATGAAAATAGGGTATGCAAATGCATACTATACTAACGTACATTCCATTCCCATTAACGTAACGCTTATGCTATTTTTGTTGACATATCAGCATGAGCGCATCCCGATGAGATATTTACGGTATATTTCGGTATATTTTTGAAGGTCGTTCCTATCGATAAATCCAGCGAACTGTCATCTGTCATGTGCCAAAATTCTTTCTTTTCGTTGTGTTTACGACGGTAGGTAGGTTTTCGTGTTTAATTTGATATTTGCCGTGGCATCCGTGCATATTATTGCAGATGAACAATGAAAATGCATGCCGAGAAGGGCACTGCAGTTGTCTGTGATTTTATGCGGAATTTCCGAAATCGTTTTACTGACCATTGCCCATATTTTGTTTACAGCCCGCACAGCCAAGCAAAATGAAACTGAACCCGTTCGTGTCGTCGTCGCGCAGGAAGAACCGCAAGCGCCACTTCCAGGCCCCATCGCACATCCGCCGTCGTCTGATGTCCGCTCCCCTCTCCAAGGAGCTGCGTCAGAAATACAATGTGCGCTCCATGCCCATTCGCAGGGACGATGAGGTTCAGGTGATCCGTGGCCACTTCAAGACTAACCAGGTTGGCAAGGTTGTCCAGTCCTACCGCAAGAAGTTCGTCGTCTACATTGAGAAGATCCAGCGCGAGAACGCCAACGGCACCAACGTCTACGTGGGCATCCACCCCAGCAAGGTGCTGATTGTCAAGCTCAAGCTGGACAAGGACCGCAAGGCCATTCTGGAGCGTCGCGGCAAGGGACGTCTGGCTGCCCTGGGCAAGGACAAGGGCAAGTACACCGAGGAGACGGCCGCTCAGCCCATGGAGACAGCGTAAATGCCGCTAGCAGTAACGACCACATATTAAACCCATGGGACGTCGCTGTTTACAGTTTTTACCGTAACGGATAAGTTTATAAAACAAAGCAAACAAATTCGCGAAAAAAACCTTGTGTGGAGTGAAAGACCGCATTTCTTTAACAATAAAGAATAGTTGATTTTTCAAATGGACAAAGTAATTGATTTTTGGATAAGCTGGGGACAATGTCGAAACTCGTGGATTTGCTGACTTCAATTAGTGAACACTTTTTTGTTTGTTTAGTTCATGTTGGTCTGCTTGGCCATGAGGATATTATCGCAGCCGTAGTACCAACTCCAATTATGGATCCAAACAAAGTTAATTTCAAAACATTGCTATCTGACTATCTTTCTATCTCAAGTTATTGCAACTGGGATGTTAAGACTTGACCAAAGGAACTTGGTCGTAAGATGACTGGAACATGAGAAGAGGAATGATACCTCGGATAAACGCAAGGCAGTATCGCGTAATCTTTAAACTTCGTAGAATTACCAACAAATCTGGTCAAACTTGGTAGCCAACTTCACTGTGAGACGTTATTACCCAAGAGTAGGGGAATCTCTTTCAATACTAAGATTGTCTCTTTTAATAGCTTAAAAAGTATTCAAGGCATGGAAATTAAGGCACGTTTTTTCACTTTATTCGAGTTGCTTGTGGATTTGAACATTTCTGCTCCAAATGCCTAGGAACAGGACGAATATTCCCTGGTCTACTTATAGGAAAATTGAGATTACAAATAATTGTTTTTAATTGTCAGGGCGTTTCGAACGCTGCTGATTGCTATTGTAAGGTGTGGGACGTTTTTCAGCCCGCGATTTGGAGGGGCCCGTCTGATCTTCGTCATATTTATCGCCGCGACGACGACGTTCCTCTTTAATGAATGCCTTGCGCTGGGCCGGGAACATTCCTTTCGGTTCGCGTACTATATTTGCCTGAGCGCAATAAACCTGAGGATTATAGTCCTCCTCCCTATCATCGTCCCAATTCTCTTCAGCTTCAATTTTGTCGTGTCGTGTGTCGGCGCGCAGTTCAGCTGGTTCGCTAGTCAGATATTGTACAATTATTTTGCGATCGTCGCATGATTTGGTGTGTTGCTGTGGGAGGAAAATTAGGTATGTTCAGCTTCAGGCTTTTTTTTGTTTACGAGATTTCCTTCAAGATAACTTACATAGAACTCTGGCTCTGGTATGAGATGCGCCTTGTTGAACGGACACACAAAAAGTTCCACCGTGTCTTTGTGGAGCTCACGACATTTTATTATATGTTGCTGATACTTTCTACGCAGCATCACATGCTCCTTGTTGTAGGGGCATGAAACCATATCCCTTTCCTCCAGGCTTTGCATTATTTTGGTAATAAATTGCGTTTTGAGATCGAAATCAGATAAATTCAGAATCAAGCGCTACATGCAGCAAGTGTGCTGGAAAACGATATTCTTATCTCTCAAAAAAAAAATCTTTTATTCGATTAGAGCCGATATGTGATAGTTATTAAATGGTTAAAACGAGTCGAATATCAGGATATCCCTTAAACATACATCCGTGAGAGAGTCTGCAACAATTTTGTAAATAAATGTGGAGCTTTAAATTACAAAAATCTTCGTACTATTGTGATTTAAGAAGATTCAGCGATTCATCGTTTAGGACATTCATCGCATTTCCGACCATCTCTTTTCTGCGGGAGTTTTACAGCACTAGCTTGCACTTAATAAACAATACTCTGAAAATATTTGTAAAATTTACGAAATACATATTTTAGACTTTATTAAAGGAATAAACACAAAAGAAAAGCAAAATGGGCAAAGGTTTCAACAATTACATGTGCAAGAAATTCTTCCATCCCGCCTCCAGGGATAATCTCAAGAGGGTAAGTACTCGGAAATGGCGTTTCATTGAATGATCTGAACGAAATTCTCGCATTTCCAGGTTTGGATGGCGGAACAACAGGCCGATGCCTACAAGAAAAAACAGGAGGAGCTGCGCAACCAGTATGAGAAAGAACAAAATCTGCACGAAAACAAGGCAATGCTCAGCAAGGACAGCAAGGACAAGCTGAGTGTCAATTTTATGTACGAGCCGCCGCCAGGAGTGCGCAAGGAGCGCGAAAAAGACGATGACGAGCCGGAGTACAAGTTCGAGTGGCAGCGCAAATACAATGCTCCCCGAGAGTCGTACTGCAAGGGCGACACCGAGATCCGGGATCAGCCGTTTGGCATCCAGGTGCGCAATGTGCGCTGTCTCAAGTGCCACAAATGGGGGCACATCAACACGGACAAGGAGTGCAGCATGTACAGCATATCCATGAGCGAAGCACGCAAGCTGCACGCAGAATCGGAGGCCACCGACATCATGTCCAAGAACGTGCTCGAGGAGCAGATGAAGGAGGACGGTCTGATGATGAAGCGTTCAGCGTTGGAGCTGCAGAGCATTAAGACAATCCAGAGACAGCACCAGCTGGTGCCCAGCGACGAGGACGAAGAGGCCAATGCCAATCAACAGAATCCCGAGCTCATGTTCCTCAAGTCCCTGACCAAAAAGCAGAAGCTAAAGCTGCTCAAAAAGCTAGAGAAGATCGATCGGATGAAGCGCAAGGGCGAGAGCATCAAGAAGCCAAGCAAGAAAAAGTCTAAAAAGCAAAAGGAAGAAAAAGACGGCAAGAAGAAAAAGTCCAAGAGCAGCCAAAAGGAGAAACCAGCCAGAAAAGAAAGGAAATCTTTGGATAGCGATGGCTCGTCCTCGTCCTCCTCCTCAGATAGCGAAGCGGAGGACAACCATAGAAGCCAACACAAATACCAACAGTCCAGGGAGCCACAAAGCCAAAGGAGAAACGGTGCCCAACGATCGAGAGAGTCGGATGACGACTACCATCGGCGACGCAATGACCGGAGTGAGCGTAGAGAGCTCTCCCGCTCCGGCAGCAGGGAAAGACGTCGAGAGAGGGAACGCAGGGATTACTCCAGGCGTTAGGCATACAGATTCCCAATGTATTATCCATTTTTTTACCAATAAAAACTCTTTTGTGGGTAGATGATTTAATGGTTCTTCGGAATAGTGTAGTGCCATGAGTGCAGCAATGAGTTGAGAATTAGCTACGCTAAAGCCAAATGCCATTGCAAAAGGTTAAGAAGTTTATTGATTCGCGAACCCATTTTACATTCGCGCCAACTGGGCCGTGGTGGTGGATCCAGCGGAGACGCATAGCTCAGCGCCGTGATTG